GTGGAGCTTCTTTTGTCCCAAACCGAAGGGGTCTTGAAGAAGATGATGGATGGGTTATCACTTTTGTTCACAATGAAGATACCAACATATCTCAAGTATATTTCAAGTCTTGTTTTGAGAAATTTTATTATTTTTCTTTAAATTGATTCACATTTATGTGTTGAAGTGCTGTCCAGTTAGTATAACTTTGTATATTATTTTTTCAGGTTTATATGATCGACACAAAGAAATTTTCCAGTGAACCTGTTGCCCAAATTACATTGCCATGTAGAGTACCATACGGATTTCATGGAGCTTTCATGCCAATCTCATCCTCCACGTAATGTCATCATCAAGTTCTGAGATTTCACACTTTTTTTTTGTCGCAGTTTCGGGGTTTATAGAATGTTAATTGTGAGTTGTGATATAGTAATCGATGGACTGCCATCGTGTGTATTCGTTTGCTTCAGGACAATGCAATGGCTTGTAAATTTGTAATTAACTGTGAAAAAGGTAGAGTGTAATTAAAGGATCTGTATTAAGGAGTCTGAACTTTGGCATTAGACCTAGAACGATTACATAATACTATTGCATTCGCCTAATTAAGTGGGAGAAGTACAAAATTAAATTGATGTTCCTATACTTGTCTAATTATATATTCTGAAATCACTTTTGTACAAAATTAAATTGATGTTCCTATACTTGTCTAATTAAATTGATGTTTCTATATATTCTGAAATCACGACAACAATAAAAACCTCACTTGTCTAATTATTTGTAAACTTTGTCATCTATTCCCAACCCTCCACAATTAGTTTTTTCCCCCGAAAGAAACAAAGGAAATCCTTATAGGGAGGTCATGCAATTAGAAGGCAAACTAAACGTATTCCAAATCCACCATGCATATCACCGGGCCACATGCAGACAGTATTGAGAAGGAACTATAGAGCATTTTTGCTACTCGGTATTGTTTTAGTATTTTTATATACTATTAAAAGGAGATCACCCTTCCCCCTTACCCCTTCCAACACAGGTTGGTGGTCGATGTAGTGTATGAGAATAAATGGCTGGTGTGACTTCTCATTTTTCAAAGAACATAATTAAAGTTCTCTTAATTAGGTTGCATTGGAACTAAAAGATGTTTTTTTCAGTTTGAATTCTCTCTTCTACCAATGAGTACGTATCTTACTAACCCACCCTCTCTGCCTTTCTTTCCTTTCCTCCTGGCAGGACCCCCACTCTACCGCCATATTTCCTTCCGAACCCAGCCATGAAAATCTTAGCTTAAAAAAAAAAAAAAAATCTTCTTGCAGCATACCTTTAAGATAATGGTTTATCCATTATAATCCAATCCTTTACCAAACGAGGCATATCATATGTGTTGAATCCAGTACTGTAAATAGCAGATTTCACTTCGGCTCCAAGAGATCCACGTATATCCACTGGAGGCCTCTTAAAGAATCGAGGGTACTCGAATTCTCTCAAGTGCTTTAATTTTTAGAAGGCTAAAAAAATAAGATAAATTTGTTTAGAAGTGCTTTTAAGATAATATGAAGCACTTCAAGTGTTATTTGGAAAAGTTTCTTTATTGAAAATATGGATGTGCTTCCCGTAGAAGCTGAAAGTTCTAACTTGTCTACTTTCCAAATAAAAATGTTATTCTTACTATTTATTTATACTAAGATAATATTAAAGAAATCAAATTTTTATATCAAATTTACAAATCAAATTATATACAACCAATTGAAAATAAGTATGCTAATTATTACGTAAATAATAATACAATTATTAATCATAAATACGAAGAACCTAAAGACCACAATAATCCTAGGCCTACCCTGCCTTTGTAAAAATAAATAAATTAGTGCATGTCCTGCCCTCTTCCCAGTCCAACTTCTGTAATTCAGACCTGTTTCCTACTTGTAGCACAGTGGCTTTTACCATTTCAAATGCACTTCCATATCAGATTGCCCCCTTTTTAATATTGTTATTAGTTGATATAGACTTTTACTCAATTGGCTCCCTTCTCAATATTAAAATATTTAATTGATATGGACCTTTACGCAATCGATTATCTCCATTGCGCTTCCCAATAATAAAATAAATATTTCATTTGAAACAAAAGGATTTCACTGCACCCTCATCATATAACTCTCGGTTTTTTTTTTTTTATTCTCACACTGTCTCACTGGAGCAGCAATTACAGTGGAGCATGAACTCCATATCTCCACAGATTCTCATCTTTAATTCTTTGTAATTTGTCAACGTGATATAGATTGTAATCTCTATATGTAAATTAATTCAACAAATAGTATTTGTTTTGTAGATTAGAAGATTTAAGTCCATTATTCCAACAAAGAAAAAGAAATTGAAGTTTAGTTAGTTAGCCTACAACCCAAAATATGCATTTTACTCTCAATCCCTCTTGCAATAGTACAGAGGACGAGGCTATCATGCAATGGTTTTAAATATGAAAACTTGACAATTGTTATGATTATTGGGAAGGAAAATATTATTAGTACTTTAAAAATCTCATTATACACTCTCTTACCAGTGTATTTTTCTTTATAATTATAGAAAGTTAGGAGTATCGAATGAGATTTTTAGAATGCAAATAAAAATTCTCTATTGGGAATATGTAATATTATCGATCTATGTTATTTTGAATTTTGGTTACTTCATTTATATATTATGATGTTTTGGTTAATAGTTTTGCAAATACTATCCGTTTAATTTTTTTTTTCTAACATTTGTAAGAGGCCCCTTCTAAGTCAAAATATTGGCTCTGTCATTGATCAACCATCACATCATTTAGTTTAAAAATAGGTCTTCCTGACATTACTCTTTGTACTATTATTTATGAGAATTATTATTGGCATTCCAAAATTTTCATTATACACTCCAAACTTTCTATATTTAGAAAGAAAAATACATTTATGAGGAGTGTAGAATGAGATTGTTGGAGTGCCAATAACATTTCCCTTATTTATATCATATTTCTAATAGAAATGAAACTCACATGTGTTGGTGGACCTTATCTTTATTAGAGAGATGGTAGAAAGTGTGTCACTACTCCTTTTTAAAATGGGAAAGAGATCATCTCCGGATCCATTCCTCCTAATCCACCAAGTCTGGGAATCTGGGCTGTTGAAATTTGATCAAACGGCTAAAGTTATTATAACTTTTAAAGTGGGCCCATGTTTGTAGCCGTTGGATCAAATTTCAACGGTCTGGATCCTCAAACTTGGTGGATTAAGAGGAAAGGATCTGGAGAGGATCCCCTTCCTTCAAAATGTCCCTGTGTTGACTTGCTGAAGATTACAAAAGAGCTTCATCTTCTTTGTAATTTTATATGAAACAAACCCACCGTTGTTAGCCAGTTGGCTTATTTCTAGATCATATTCCAAAGCCTCGAACCACTAATCCAGAAGCATTAGACAAGGGAAGATGCTTTTAAGCTCAAACGAATCTTCATTTTTTTTACGCGAACAATTAATTAATCCAATGCTAAGATAGAGATTGACGTCCAATAAGCAATTGCTGGATATTTTCTTTCTTTATACATGCATTATTATAAAAGAGAATTTTAACAAAAAGCTTATAGTACTGTTTATTTTAACGAAAAATCATATTTTTACACTAAAAAGTCAATCATGGTACTATTCACTTTACCCTTTATTTTGTCTTTATCGTTAAAATTCAAAATTTTCAAGTCATTTTCATTAATTTTTCTTATTATAAATGCTTGGAAACTGATTAAGATTGGTCAGCTGCCTATTAAGACTGGTTGTTTTTAGCTTCTGCCTTCGTCTTGTTAACAAGTTTTATTATATTGGCTGACATAATTGGTCTAAAAACAATGTGTCGTATTTGATACTAGTTACTTTCTTTAGACAAATGAATAAATTAATGACTACATTCTCTCTCAATTTTCTTTAAAAAAAATATGTTAGAAATGCTACATTTTTAAATTACGTTAGTGATCATTTAATGTACCACATGATATGTATATTTCACGTCAACTAATGAATCTATTTAATTGAATGTTAGTTGTATACATCACTAACACATGAGATAGTAATTATTATAGTTTAAAAATATGGTCTCCCTAACATTACCCTTCTTAATCACCAAAAAGTAGACGAGACCAAAGGTATGTTTACGAGTAATGCTACTCTTTTATTAAAAATAATTAGCATATAAAATAGAGTTGGTCACATTAGTTTTTATTCCGATTCAAGTGGATTAGTAAACAATTTATATAGATTAATGTCATTCCTACGCTGATTTCAGACAATAAATAATTTCAACAAGAATCTGATTCTAATTCCATCTCATTTTAATTCCTCCTCATGAATTTAGTTCCTTTCAATCTAATTACAAATTAGTATAGCAACTATGGGATGTGTCATGTAGGGTTTGTTTGGAGTTTTAGAATAATTATGCTTAATCAACAATGCAACCATGGCATCTAAAACAATGCCTTGCGACAATACAATTATTATACAACGCAACTATGACATGCATAAACTATTATTCTAGTCATATTGGCGTAGTAGGATTCTTTCTCCTCTTTTTTTCTTTCCTCTTCCCTCATCTCCTATTTGAATGGTCACGGTTAAACCACGTCAACATCTTATATTAATTTTTTATAAAAAGAGAAAGACAAAATAAAGAATTTGAGAGAAAGAGGATGAAAGGGGATGAAAAGATGAGGGAAGAGAATTCCAGTCCCATATTAGCTGCAAGATCACTAAAATATCAAATCACTTAAATAATAAGTTACTCGAAAATCAACTAATCTGATTGACAAGTACATTTATACTCACAATAATTACATAGACAGTCAAATTGATGAGAACAAAAGAACAACACAAACAAAAAAAATAAAAACTATATACAAGTGCTACTGGAAAAAAAAAATATTTGAACACATAACCTTATGTGGATACACAAATTATATACTAAAACTCAGTTGCTGATCACTGTTCATTAACAATGATTTGACCGAAATGCCCTCTTTTGATCACCATGGCCCGTTGTTTTTTGTGTTCGGCACAGTGAAATTACGTGGTTTTACCCCTTATTCTCTTCATGTGTTTTAGGCTTTAGTGGGTTTGTATGATGAATTGGCCACTTTGCCCCTCTCTCATTTTTGTTCCCGTGCGTGCGTTTTGTGTGGGAAGATGCTTCCAGCATCTTTCATTTTTCACTTTCCTCTTTCTTTGTTCCCTGTAACATGGTCCCATAGTATGCTTTAGTGGTATTGAATATAATTGGACAAACTGCTATGAATCTATTATTTCCAATTTAAACGCTTCTGATAACTTAGAAGTTCATTTGTTAGTTCAAATTTATGCAACAAATGTATAAACCAAGATCTATAATTTTTGTATTTATCTATTTTCACAAAGTACTACATCACCAGTTCAGAATGTTTATTTTAAGTTTCTATTTCTTTTTTTTTTGCTTACATTAATTTTCGATTCGTTTTTTTCAATTTTTGTCCCATGTTGTTTTCAGTGATGTTGTAGCTTTGAAAACACAAATTTCTGGTTTTTATTTAATGACAAAACAGTTTTTGTTTGGTTAAAATACGAGGAACAATAGAGTTGTTCATCATCCGTTTCATTATGAACTTTGGATCAACATTCAAAATCTAATGTAAAAAACTGGTATCTGCTTCTTTACAATTCTCTATTTATATGTTATTGCAATCGCGATCTCATTTTTAAAGTTCTTTGAACTTTGACCACATTTAGTTATGCTGAAATTCTTCTTGCCACTCATAACCATTACATTATGCCTCTTCACTAGATAAATTTTTATGTCTTGCTGAAAAGCACTTGCACCCTTCCAACAGATAAAAACTGTGCACGTAAGCAAAACTTTTTACATCGACTCTTGCTTGATTAGTGATCCTGGTATAGCTGATTGATGTGAATATCAATTGTACAGTTTGTGTTGCTCAGTTTATGCTTAATAAAATGTCATCTACATGACCCCTTCATATATATTAGAATTCTTAGTAAGATTTGTGCCAACTATTTTTGTTATGTGGAAGTTGAAACCTTTTTTTACGGTTCTAAATAGAGTCCCATGTATATGTAAATAGTGTATATACATATTATAACTTTCTATGTATTTTATACAGTTTTAAAACCCGCAGCATCGCGCGGGCACTTTTGCTAGTTATATATACTAAAACTCAGTTGAAGTTACTGTTCATTAACAGTGATTTAACGGATTTGCCCTTCAATTGTTACCTGTTTTCAGCCTTTTTCCTACACAGCACAGTAAATTTACTAATTTGCCTCTTCTGTCCGCGTGTCAGCCATCCTAGAAGGGAAGTGAACAGGTGAGTGCTCTTCCTCTGTTTCTCTAGAGTTTTCTTTCTCAGAAAACTAAAACGCCTATTGTCTGCTCTCTCTTCCTCTCTCTCTCTCTCTCTCTCTCTCTCACCCAGATTTAGCTTTTTTCCCTGTTTTGTATCTTTTGGCTGATTTTGTGAGTTATTTGGTTTTCTTGCCACATGGGATTTCAATTTTTTTTCCGTCGTTTATGTGTGGTCGTCTGATGTATTTTGATTTTTGATTTTAGAAAAAGTTAAGGATACGATCAAACGTTTATTAATGAGTTTCTATTTTTTTTAATTGTGTGTGATTTAAATTTTTTCGAGCTTTGGGTGTACTTTTCTGATCTGCTTTGATTTTTAGGTGCAGCAAGAGTTGTTGCTCGAATTTCCAATTTTTCTCTGCGGCTTTGCAAGCTCCTTATCATCAAGGTATATAATTTTTTTCCTTTTCCCTTAATCTTTTGTTGGATGGAATGGATTTTTTTTTTTAGTTTTTAGTTTTTTTTTCGGAGGGACTATTTTTTGTTTGCATATGAGTTTTTTGTGGTTTTTGTTTGGATATTTAAGTTTTGGCCATTTGCAAATAGTTTTTCTCAATAAATAATGAAAAATGGGTCTCTGCTTTTTGTGAAAAAGGGAAATGGTGTGTTGTGAGTGATTGAATAATATTTACATTGCAATTAATAAAGTTAGCTTTAATTGTGGCCATAAATTTTTACTAATTTTAATTCTACTTTATCATTTTGGCCAAATTGTTCTATAATTTTAACTTACTTTTAATTTCTTGATATCCAGGTGGTTTACATACTTTTTAACCATAGATCACATAACTTACATTTACAATTATATTGTTTCAATTGTTTATATAATTTTTTCTTTGTTCCCTGTAACATGGTCTCATAGTATGCTTTAGTGGTATTGAATATAATTGGACAAACTGCTATGAATCTATTATTTCCAATTTAAACGCTTCTGATAACTTAGAAGTTCATTTGTTAGTTCAAATTTATGCAACAAATGTATAAACCAAGATCTATAATTTTTGTATTTATCTATTTTCACAAAGTACTACATCACCAGTTCATAATGTTTATTTTAAGTTTCTATTTCTTTTTTTTTTGCTTACATTAATTTTCAATTCGTTTTTTTCAATTTTTGTCCCATGTTGTTTTCAGTGATGTTGTAGCTTTGAAAACACAAATTTCTGGTTTTTATTTAATGACAAAACAGTTTTTGTTTGGTTAAAATACGGGGAACAATAGAGTTGTTCATCACCCGTTTCACTATGAACTTTGGATCAACATTCAAAATCTAATGTAAAAAACTGGTATCTGCTTCTTTACAATTCTCTATTTATATGTTATTGCAATCGCGATCTCATTTTCAAAGTTCTTTGAACTTTGACCACATTTAGTTATGCTGAAATTCTTCTTGCCACTCATAACCATTACATTATGCCTCTTCACTAGATAAATTTTTATGTCTTGCTGAAAAGCACTTGCACCCTTCCAACAGATGAAAACTGTGCACGTAAGCAAAACTTTTTACATCGACTCTTGCTTGATTAGTGATTCTGGTATAGCTGATTGATGTGAATATCAATTGTACGGTTTGTGTTGCTCAGTTTATGCTTAATAAAATGTCATCTACATGACCCCTTCATATATATTAGAATTCTTAGTAAGATTTATGCAAACTATTTTTGTTATGTGGAAGTTGAAACCTTTTTTTACGGTTCTAAATAGAGTCCCATGTATATGTAAATAGTGTATATACATATTATAACTTTCTATGTATTTTATACAGTTTTAAAACCCGCAGCATCGCGCGGGCACTTTTGCTAGTATACGCTAGAAATTAATAGTCCTCCTTCGAGGCTTCGAGGCTACTTGTCTTTTATTTTATACATATCCTTCCTCTTGCGGCAAGTTTTTTTTAAGAATATTACTAAGGTTGCTAGACCCAAGGCCAGAGCACTTTTAATGCGGTTTCGGTCTTCATTTTTTTGACATGTGGACATTGTTAAGAACAACAACAACCAAAAAAATACATCTACTTGTCCGATTATTTGTAAACTTTGTCATCCAAAATTCCTAACCCTCCACTATTATTTTTTGGGATACTTTGAATGTGGTCCCTAATCCTTAACATTTTTTAATTAAAATCTTAATAATATTCAAAGTTTGATCAAAGTCCCTTGATTTTGTACACCTCATTATATTACTATTAATATTTATATTTTATAGTTTTGAAATTAATTGTTTGATATTTTATGAGATTTATAATCCTATAAATTTAAAATCCCTCATTATAATACTATTGGAAACGGTTCCAATAAAAAAATTCAAACATTTTGATTGAATAAATGGATAAAAACTATGTAAAAATAAGAAATAATAAATGGCAAAAGAATGTATCCATAGTGTTAATGACACACCCCGACCGAGGTAGGAGCGTGCTGGCCGTCACACAAAGGCGACGTAGCCATGTGCACGTGCGGAAGCTAATAGAGTAGTAATAAAAAGTACGAATAATTAAAAACTAGCATTCAAGTACCAGAATAAGTGCTAGTTAGTGCGATACAAATTCAGAGCAGGTCTATAGCAGTCCAAATAAAATAACAACCGTAGTACGCCCGAAGGCGAACCTACAATGTGGAGTGTCTGTCAGAACGCCGAAAAGCTCGCAAGGGAAACCACCGCAACGGCTAAGCAACTAGAACCTGGAGGGGCGCAAAACAAAAGCGTGAGTGGGCAAAAACAAAACTCTTTGAAAACCATTTAGCAAAACACAACTAACCCCTCGCCGTAAAACCTGTATACGTCCCAGAAAATAACATATGTACGTATGTATAGATATGCTCAAACGTGTTCAAGGGTATGCCAATCATGCTCAATATGTGCTATGACAAAATCTCCTAATGATATGCAAGTGCTCAGGTGTGAGTCGTATCAATCACACAATCTTCTGACAACCGGAGTCACCTAACGCGACCTGTACGGCTGTATATAGAGCTCAAATGTCAATCTCAATAACTAAACCTGCCCACGAGTCGGAACCACCTAAAGGGTCTGTACGACAGGCCTGGGTGTAACATGTATATACGCTCTAGTGCTACGATCACGTGAAGGCTGTGCGAATAATCGCGGGTCACCTACGAGTCGGAACCACCTACTGTGGTCTGTACGACAGGCCTATGCACCTAACTTGGATCCAAGCTGAGCGTATGGTGCGGGAGGTGAACAACACGTGAAGGATTGTGCCCTACTCTGGGCGGGAGCACTAACACCGGGGGTGCAGGTTATGAGCTCTCTAATCATCTCTAACCACTATTTAATGCAATCGTTAATTAACGCTTACCTGGCACTCACCTATGCCTCCGCAGCACCCCCACATAAATATATATGACGTATGCATATGTATATGTATGCCACAAATGATGCATGCAACGATGCATAAACGATAAATAATAAAGTACATGGCATAAGGCAATTAACCCTTTTTAAATCAATTTCTGGGAATATAAATGTATATAGGTATATACGGAAAACAAAAGCCCACTCACTGGTATGTAGAAGGGTCGTAGCCCCCCTGCCTCGAATGTGCACGCTCGTCCTCGGGATACGTGTCACCTATATGCGAATTAACTATAAAAACGTTAACTTTAGAGCACATAACCGTCCGTTCAAAATAACTTCTCATACATTGCTCAAAATGGACAAATGAATATACCAACGTGACCTACACAACCTCACGATCACAACCATATTTTTAAAATAATTTTTGGACCACGCACGCGCCCCCACGCGCCAGCACAGGCACGGGTCCACGCGCCCCCACGCGCAGCCACGTGACCTGCACACTGACGGCGTCAGGTGACGCCGTCAGGAATATTCCCTGGAATATTCCGTTAACCCTGACTGACGCCGTTAGCTTCTGTTAGGAATATTCCGTTAACCCTAACGGAATATTCCTCTGTCTTCTCCGGCCAACCCCCCTCGCCGGCGCCGTCGCCGGAAAACCTGCAACTTAGGTTTTCTCGCTCGTTTTTCAACCGTTTTTCAAGATTTTTGCACCAAAAGAAAGCTCTAGACTAGTAGAACATGTCCCAACAAGTTTTAAGGGCTAAAACCTAGAGATTATACCTGTCCAAAAACTCCAAGCTCGGCTAACCTCGAACCAGGCCTTCCCGACGTCCAAATTCGTCCAACGAGCTACTCCGACGCTCCTGGGAACCTCACCAACACCTCTACAAGCTTCAAAAGTCCAAAAACTCAATGTATAAAACTTGCATGAACAGTACTCAATTCGGCCATTGTTGAATCGACGTGAAAACGAAGTATTCCTCACCTGAAAATGGTATGGTTGAGCTCGCCTCGACCTTACGAGTTGAATGGTGTAGCTGGTTTCCACGATCTGTTAGGATTGTGTGGGTTGTGGGTTTGTCCGTACGTTTTCAAAGGGAAGGAGGAGAAATGGAGCTCGGGGGAGAGAGAGAGAGGAAAGTCAGAGGGAGAGAGAGATAGCAAGTGTGAATGTGTGTGTGTGTGACCCCCACACCTGTCCACACCACACTAAACACCAAAAACCTAATAGAACAAACTAGGGGTAAAATGGTCATTTCACACGTACGGTTCGATAGTTTCGGGACGGGATGTCACAACCTACCCACCTTATTAGAATTTCGTCCCGAAATTCAAAACAACCGAAAACGACTCCTAGTAACCAAAGAATAATCTAGGATACAAATCCCTCATCCGATCTTCTGTCTCCCACGTCGCTTCCTCAACGGAATGGTTCCTCCACAAAACCTTCACTAATTTCACCGTCTTGTTCCGCAGAACCTTCTCTTTCCAATCGATGATCGTCACCGGTTCCTCGTCATACGTCAAGTCTGGATTAATTTCTAACGGTTGAGGAGGTATCACATGGGATGGATCAGCAACATAATGTCGGAGCATAGACACGTGGAAAACGTTATGCACTCTGGCTAGCTCCGGAGGTAACTCCAACCTGTAAGCTACCTCACCAACTCGCTCCACGACCATGTATGGTCCGATGTACCGTGGACTTAATTTGCCTTTCTTACCAAATCTCACTACACCTCTCCACGGCGAAAGCTTCAAAAATACCCAATCTCCGACTTCGTACACCCTGTCTGTAGCATGCCGATCCGCTAAACTCTTTTGTCTGTCTTGTGCCGCTTTCAAATTAGTCTTGATTACCTGGACGTTCTGGGTAGTCTCCTCAACGATCTCCGGACCTACTAAGACCCTTTCTCCGACTTCTGACCAACACAACGGTGTGCGACAAGCTCTACCATACAAAGCCTCAAATGGTGCCATGCCAATACTTGAATGAAAACTATTATTGTAAGCAAACTCCATCAAATCTAACCGCTGGTGCCAAGCGTCACCAAACTGCAACACCGAAGCTCGCAGCATATCCTCTAAGGTCTGTATAGTTCTCTCTGACTGCCCGTCGGTCTGTGGATGATACGCCGTACTATAAAGTAATCTCGTGCCCAAGGCTTCCTGGAAAGCTACCCAAAACTTCGATGTGAACCGTGGATCACGATCCGAGACAATACTCACCGGAACACCGTGGTACTTCACAACCTTCGAGATGAACAACTCCGCTAAACGGCTCAAAGAATACTTCTCTCTCACTGGAATAAAATGGGCCGACTTAGTGAGTCGATCAACGATCACCCAAATGCCGTCAAAGCCATTATGTGTACGCGGCAACTTGTACACAAAATCCATGGTGATATTTTCCCACTTCCACTCGGGAACTGGAAGCGGCTGCAACAACCCAAACGGCTTCTTCCTTTCTGCTTTAACTTGCTGACAAACAGCACAACTGCTCACATACTCGGCTATCTCCCTCTTCATACCTGGCCAATAATAAAATGGTCGAATGGTATGATACATTTTCGTAGCTCCTGGATGCATGACGTAAGCCGAGATATGTGCTTCATCGAGAATTTCTTTCTTCAACTCCACGCTCTTAGGCACGAACATTCTACCATCTAGCATCAACATGCCATCCGAATCTCGAACTCTGAGGTCTCGCCTCCTTCCTTGCTCACGAGCTTGAATTAGTGCTTGAGTCTCTTGATCAGCTACCTGAGCTTCAAGTACCCGATCAATAAGAATTGGCCTAACTTGGAAATTAGCAAGTAACGCCACTTCTCGATCTTCAGCTTCTAACCTCACTCCCGTGGCACGCAAGTCAGCCAAAAGAGAAACACGACTAGCGTACAACGCATTAATGCGGCCCTGTGACTTCCTACTAAGCGCGTCAGCCACTACGTTCGCACGACCAGGATGATAATCAATCGTGCAATCGTAATCGCTGAGCAACTCCAACCACCTCCGCTGACGAAGATTAAGTTCCTTCTGAGTAAAGAGATACTGGAGACTCTTGTGATCTGTAAAGATCCTGCACTTTTCTCCGTAAAGATAGTGTCTCCACAACTTCAACGCAAAAATGATAGCAGCCAACTCCAAATCATGTGTAGGGTAATTCATCTCATGAGGTTTCAACTGCCGCGAAGCATAAGCAATCACCCTACCCTGCTGCATCAATACACAGCCCAAACCATTCAAGGAAGCATCGCTATAAACCTCGAAATCACCGCTATCGTCTGGGAGTGCCAAAACA